TCTTCTTTGATTTCATCATTTAAGTTGGTGAATTTCAGTGATGATTCTAGATCGGCAACGAAGTTTAGTTTGTCAGCGTCTTTGATGTTGTAATTTAAGCCTTTGCCTAAAATTTTAGTCTGCTGTACGGTGAGTGGTTTGCTTGATATGTTCTTGACCCATGAATGCGTGTCGGTGTTAATTTCCTTAAATGATCTCGATTTTTGTAGTTTTCGTTGGAGTTCGTTGTGCCGTTTTGTTCGATACGCGTTTGTTGTTTCTTTGATAGTTTCGTCAATGGATTTGGCATCTGTTTGTGTGCTGTGATTCGTGACAGTTTCTCGATGTTGGTTTAATTTTCGTCTGTAGATTCGTAAGCGGTTGTGAGCGTCAGATATGAGGATGTTCAGCATACGTCGGCCGTTTGATTGTGCTATTTGTTGGGCATAATTCGTTTTTATTGGTGGTTGGTAGTTGATACTGTTCGGTAGGATTCGCTGTTGTTTGCAGTTGTGTAAGAAGTGTAGTTGCTCCAACGTCGATATCATTATCATAATATGCTCGGGTTACCAATTTTCAAATATATATATATATATATATATAAAATGAACTAAAATAAAATGGACAATTGTTTGCTGTCGCTACTCAGAGTTTCACGCCGTAGGGCGATCTTCAGGCAACTGACAGATAATATTTTATTTGCTGACTATATACATCGACTAAAAGGTGTTAAGTTACATGACGGCATGCACTAAACATATCGGAACGTTTATTTAAAATGTTATTTTATCTTACGCTCTTCTAATATATAGAATATTGAGCGCTCTTTTATTCAGGAATATTATCCATAATAATATATATATATATATATATAGGAAGTTTATAATTTATGATTTTCCGTATAAAACAGTGCTCGATGCCCGAGAGCAGAGCGTAAATATTGGTAAGAAGAAGAAAATACACAAAAACTACAATTTCATCCCATCAATTTCAAAGAAGAAAATACAAAAATGAAATTGTAGTTTTTGTGTATTTTCTTCTTCTTACCAATATATATATAGATAGATAGATAAGAAGAAGAAAATACACGATACCAACCACACATTTGACTGGACAAAAACACAACTTCTTGGACGCGCACAGACAAAACACGCACGAGAATTCAAAGAGGCATGGTACAGCAAAGACAACAACACAATTAACAGACATATTGACATCCCCATCATCTATTCACAACTAAAGACAAAACCAAAACAACAAACTAATAACACAACGACTAAAATAAAACACTCGAATTTCATTAACGTAATCGATACACCCGAAACCATGACAACGCATCTTATACCATCCAATAATATCAACTCATCTACTAACCAACCAATCAGACGCTCCAAACGCCTACAAAAATGTTTGTAAATAATATATTGTCACATTCTGACGAAGGCTCGAAGCACCGAGTTGAAAGCTTAATAAAAAATTTAAAACAAATCCAGAGAATCCTTATCATTATCATATATATATATATATGAATATATATTGATGAGAAGAAGAAAATACACAAAAACTACAATTTCATCCCGACAAGCCTGTTTCGTGATTTCTCACTCTTCAGGGGATAATATTAAATGAATACAAAGCATGTGCTAGATATATATATAAGAGGAAGTTAGGTTAAAAATTGAGATAGAATTACATAATATATTGAGTGTACGATTACAAATTACATAGAAGTGCTTTGTGTCTATGGCGACAAGAGGAGATAAGTTCGTTACGTTTGTTGAGTGATGATAGTTGTGGTTGGTAGGTGATGAAAGTTTTCTTTCAGGCATAGGTTGCATCTTTGTTGGCGCTGTTTACGGTTTGCTGTGAGTAATGATGTTCCATGAGATATTGTGAGCGATGTTGTTGTCTTTTAGTGTCCATATGTGTTTGCTGAGTTCGGTGGAGTTTCTTAGTTTTTTGTGGCGAAAAGAGGCAGTATGGTTTCTGTGTCGAGTCTTAAATTCGTTTTCTGTAAGTCCGATGTAGGTCTCAGTTGTGTTATTGTCTAAACGTTTAACAGTTGCTTGGTAGATGACAGATGATTGTAGGCAGTTTCCGTTAAGTGGGCAGTTTTGTTTTTGACGGCAGTTGCATGTTTTTGTTTGTGTATTTTTGTCATTGATGGTGTCATTAGTATTGTCAGGTTCTCTCAATATGCGTTTGTTATGGTTATTAATAATATGTTCCATATTGTTCATGCAGCTGTAACTTAATTTAATTGTGTTGCGGTTAAATAGTTTTCTGAGTTTGTGGTCTATGGGAAAGTGCTTGTCAATTAGTGAAATGAATTTGTAGCCGATGTTTGTGCTGACGTTCTAGCTGTATGGTGGGTTGTACCAGAGTATGTTATTTCTAAGTCTGTTTTCCGTTTAGTAGCGTTTGGGTCATATTTCAGCGTGATATCCATTTTCGTCAAGTGCTTTTTGGTATGGAGGAGGGATTGGTCGAATGATGCTCTGTGGATGATGGATGAAAGGCGTTTGTTAATGGCATCAGGTATGTTCTTTGTAATGCTTGGAGGATGGTTGCTTTCGTGGTGGATGTATTGCAAAGAGGTGTTGGGCTAGTGTAAGGTCGATGGGAAGAATTCCGATCGAGGTAATGTCGAGGAAGTTAATGACTTTTTGTTAGCTTCGATGGTGATACGCAATCTTGTTGTTAAATACGCGGCATATCTCTTTTTTAATTTTTTCTGTTTCTTTAGGTGTTGCTTTAGTAATGGCTAGTCCGTCGTCGCGATAGAGTCCTATGTTAGTAATGATGTGTTGCAGCTCTCACAACTGCGCCATTACTAGCCATTACTAAAGCAACACCTAAAGAAACAGAAAAAATTAAAAAGATATGCGTACGGATTGCGAAGCTAACAAAAAGTCATTAACTTCCTCGACATTACGTTCGATCTAAAGAATTCTTCCCATCGACCTTACACTAAGCCCAACACCTCTTTGCAATACATCCACCACGAAAGCAACCATCCTCCAAGCATTACAAAGAACATACCCGATACCATTAACAAACGCCTTTCATCCTTATCATCCGACAGAGCATCATTCGACCAAGCAATCCTCCATACCAAAAGCACTTGACGAAAATGGATATCATTACACGCTGAAATATGACCCAAACGCTACTACGAACCGGAAAACAGACTTAGAAATAACATACTGGTACAACCCACCATACAGCAAGAACGTCAGCACAAACATCGGCTACAAATTCATTTCACTAATTGACAAGCACTTTCCCATAGACCACAAACTCAGAAAACTATTTAACCGCAACACAATTAAATTAAGTTACAGCTGCATGAACAATATGGAACATATTATTAATAACCATAACAAACGCATATTGAGAGAACCTGACAATACTAATGACACCATCAATGACAAAAATACACAAACAAAAACATGCAACTGCCGTCAAAAACAAAACTGCCTACAATCATCTGTCATCTACCAAGCAACTGTTAAACGTTTAGACAATAACACAACTGAGACCTACATCGGACTTACAGAAAACGAATTTAAGACTCGACACAGAAACCATACTGCCTCTTTCGCAACAAAAACTAAGAAACTCCACCGAACTCAGCAAACACATATGGACACTAAAGACAACAACATCGCTCACAATATCTCATGGAACATCATTACTCACAGCAAACCGTACAACAGCGCCAACAAAGATGCAACCTATGCCTGAAAGAAAACTCTTCATCACCTACCAACCACAACTATCATCACTCAACAAACGTAACGAACTTATCTCCTCTTGTCGCCATAGACACAAAGCACTTCTATGTAATTTGTAATCGTACACTCAATATATTATGTAATTCTATCTCAATTTTTAACCTAACTTCCTCTTGTATATATATCTAGCACATGCTTTGTATTCATTTAATATTATCCCCTGAAGAGTGAGAAATCACGAAACAGGCTTGTCGGGATGAAATTGTAGTTTTTGTGTATTTTCTTCTTCTCATCAATATTTACGCTCTGCTTTTAAGCATCGAGCACTGTACTTACGGAGATTCAAATAAACAAAACTTCCTATATGATATATATATATATATATATATATATATATATATATATATATATATATATATATGGAATGATAACGACAATACATTTTATAGATATAAAATTGAAGGCGAAGTCCTAGTCTCTTGCGCGGTTTGTACGTCTGTTCCAGTCCTTCAAAGTCGAATATTTACGCGGTTTGTACGTACACGGCCAATATAAATTTGAAAACAAATTGCAAAAGCATAAACATATAAACAACATCACTACAAACAACACACGAGGCCAAATCTTCGCAAAAGGTTAGTTTTCACAGCTGAAACTTTACTACAGTGAGTTCATTGTATTTTACAACTTGTAACGCGGAAAAGCCACCTGAAAATTACACTGTCTGCTAAAAAGACAAGACAATAAGAAAATATGTCGAGAAAATATTTAAGCAAAATTTTTTCTTACATCGGAAGGTAAATTTTCAAACGGTGTCAGACAGTGTTTGTCTTTTCTGTCGTTTCATTGGAATTAAAGACCTGTTTTTCCGAAGAAAAAAGAAACTTGAATATAAAGTTTCATAAAAAATATTGAGTCTATAACTCGCATTTACTCCTGATCAAGACACTAGACTGCAGTACCTAAATAAGGAATAAAGTTTTAACATTATATAAATCCTGATGATGAAGACACTAGACTGGAGTAAATAAACCTTAGATCTTTCCGGATGAAGACATTTGAATGAAGTATATAAAGACTTAAAACTCAAGTTCCACAGATCACTTCTGAGGAAGACATTAGACTGGAGGGTGTAAAAATTATAAAATAATTCAATATCTGATTGCAATCGAGACTTTCAGAAATCAACTAGGTTTCTTTCCAATTAAAAAATTTTTTAACAAATGCCTCAATTTTTTGTTTTATCGCATGAATAACTTGCATATTTTTTGAAAACAGGATGTATGCATTGAAATTTGCAAGAAATTGGACATTGCTCCTATGGCTTTACATTTCTTCACACTTATGACAACAGACTGTGAACACTGCCTTGACATCGAATGCCAGATAACAGAAAAATGTGACAGACAAAAAGATCATTATTATCATCCCAAACATGTAATATCGGAAGACATTTCTAATCAGGTCTCTTTCTTTCGGCTTGCATTTAGAGCTGTTGCTGGTTCCTATTTAAAAGCTGTGAATGTTGCTACATTTGAATACTTTGTCATGCAGGTAACAACTGTAATTTTGTGTATGTATTTTCAAAAGTAACACTTTTTGCTTGCCTTTTGCTGGTTTGAGGTCATTTGCTGGCTTACCTCAACTTGTAAGTGTTATTGATTTTGGTAACCTTTCTTATTAGCATATATCATCAAATTGTAAGTGACTTTATGTTCTTTGTTAAGTTGTTTAATGAAAAATGCATAATGATGATCACTAACCTACAGTGTCGATGGGATTACATCAAGCAAAGAGTGGACAACTTGTCCTGGAAAGATCATCTCACTTTGCTAGTTCTTGAGTCAATAATCCAAGCTCACGAAAAAAACATAACTGCCAAAGAAGTTCTTGACAAACCGTAAGTGGTACATGGTTATTTTATTTTCATTTAACTAGTTGAGGTTGTTGATAGCTTTATTTAGATATTGGATCCACTTTTGAAATGTACTCATACATTATGAATTGTTTGTTTTGTTGTTTTTTGAATGGCCATCAGGGCTAGCAATGCTGGTGTATAAACTCATTCAGACGTGAATGGGGTTGAGCTGTAAAGAAATACTTTTATCTATTAAGTATATATTTGTAAAAAATGCCATGGTATTGCTCATTTGTTTGTGAGTAAAGACTACAAGCCAAAAGAAATACGATCTCATATAAAGAAACAACTCCCACAGTTCAAAACTGAACAAGCAAATGCAGACAACGCGAAAATCTCGTTTTTGTATGTCCTTGGGCGTGTTCCTGATTTTGGTGTTATGAATATTCTTGTGAAAATGGTATCATCTTACTAATACTACTTCCTGCTCTTAAAACTATTTTGAATATGACTATAATTATTGTTTGTTTCAGTTTTATTACCAAGCTCCTTCGGAAGATAAAGTCTTGCCTGTAGAATGTGAGATTCTGATATCACCAAATGGCGTTAAAAAAGGCGTACTTACCAGAAAGATGAGGTACGTGCCAATACACTGAATGTAGGATATTCTGTAATGTGTATATTTACCATTTTTTCACTAAAGGTGGTCTGTCAAAAAACATTTCAAATAATATAGTTGATCGATAGATAACTTTTTGTACTGTTTGGTTCAAAACATGCAAAATGTTGGGATTTTTTAATCATGGCCGGGAGAAAAGAGCCTGAGTACGAAAGCGCATTTTTACGTCATACAAGGCACGGAAGTTAATTGATCACCATTACTGTAGATCTGTATTATATGCAGTTTTAATTTTTTTCAGCGTGACGAAAACGAAAAATGCCCGTCACATATTAGGTAAATTGGTGCAGCCACAAACCCTTTTTGCAATCATTAATTTTTAGCTTTAAAAAACATTAAAACATACGTAAAACATTATTACGAACATCATTGTTTATTGGCAAAAACTAATAAGTTCTGTTTATAATTTTACGTAAAATCCCTTAGTAGCTATTCCAAGGAGAAACACATAAAGTAGCTATAGTATTTATCCAGTTGAATTATACTCTCTTTGAGCAGAATTAAAAGAAAGGTTATCTGTAGTTACAAAATAAGTTAATTAGTTAGCAGTTCTGTCTCCAGAGTCAGGCCACTATCGCAGGAATCCACCATGAAACAGTGTAAGCAATGAATTACCGCAATTGTATTTTTGAAAACATACTGCATAATTGTGACAAGGGATATACCCGGCGGAAAGCGAACTTTAAATATAAATATCAAAGCCCAGCAAAGTGCTTTTAAAAGAGCCATTTAATGCATAAAAAGAAATATTTATTTAAAAGTGTAACGTTTCGTCATGACTCTCAAGACATCATCAGACAATATTGAATTACAAGTATAGAGGGATATATATATATAATAGCTATTTACATAATATTAAATTACAAAGTGGGATGAAAACGTGTTGGTAAATATTGAATAAGATGGTATGACGTGGGATAAATAGAAACACGAAAGAAACAAAAAAAAAACACAAACAATCATCATAAAGTATACAGACATGAGGACGAGCGAAATTAGATTAAAGCAACTGAAGGACAATGGAGTTTCCTTGGACGTTAAGAGATGGTTTCATTTTGTTGATTAAGAGGCTTTCGTGAATAAGAAGTTTTTGTGAGTCTGAGCATGAAGAAAGTATTTTAAAATATTCGAAGGTGGCGGTGTGTGGATTTAAGGTGTGATAGTATGGAAGAATGACAGGGATGTTTAGAAGGTTTACCAGTCAAAGGGGTAATGCACAAATGCTCTGAAATTCGAGCGTGTATTTGATTTTTGTCATTGTTTAGTACGGCAGTAATTATGAATCCAGTAAAGTTGAAGAGATCATCTGCGATCATAAAGATATTGTAAGCCTCGACATAAATCAATCCCAGTCTGGAGAAGTCAGCATCCGCATAATTAGAAAGAACTTGTCTCCCGAGGTAAAGCTATTACTGTTGCTTCAATAATAATGTATTACCCTTACTCTTTTCGTGGTTAATGGTGTAGCAACTACTCATAGCGATGTTTGATCTTGAATGTGACATAACTCTTGTGAGTTTTTATTTGATTGTAGGTCGTTTTCTTCGAGGATTCTATGATAAAAGCGAAAAGTCTTATGACATTGATTGATGGCTTTTATCGTTTGCTTGTGAACCCATACAAAACCTTAATGAAATGTACGTAATTACATTGTTTAGAGCCCGTGACAATCAATAACGTACATTTGCATCAATGAGCAGTGGTCTTTAGACAATAATCAGTTTTGTAAATTTTCTTTAAAATATGGCGAGCGATTTTGTTTGGTTCAAGTTTAATCGATTGGATTTTTTGTCTTAGGTGGATCTGGTCATAATAAATCATATGGAGAACTCCATCAGCAATTTGGGATCCATGGACCGATTGAGTAAGTACTAGTTAACAAAAAACTGCTTTGTTAAAATGTGCGTGAATACATTCCTATTTTCGAAATAATATACGTGAAATAGATTTCCATTTCTATTATAAGTACGTTATCTATGATTGATTTGTGGCGATGAAAAATCGTGAAATTGAAGTGCGGTACAGAGGCGTAGAAAGCTCGATAATTGGGGGGGGGGGCAATATTCATATATTCGTGTTTGGCCGTATTAAGTTACTTTCAAATCGATTGTTTCTGTGGATTTTAACATATATATGTATATACCCCCCCCCATTATCTATTCTGGCTTAGCCAATGCCTGGTATGGTAGACATTTTTCTTAAGCATTGATTTTGCATAGTAAGTCCGTGTTATATTCTCCACCACAGTATCACTCGTCAACATTCCTTGTCATCTCAATTTTTTCTGAATTGTGGTAATATCAAGCATTTGCCTCACTTATCATCATTATTTTTTTGCATTGCTCTACCATTTACGAAAATATTTTTTACAGGCAAAAGATGGTTGATAATCTCTTAAAGGCGGTAAAAACAGAAAACAGCAATCCATCTGGTGTTTATATGATACGCCAAAGTCCCAAACATTTTGACAGTTATATCCTATCACTCATTCACGGCAATGAAATAAAGAATTACGAAATATTAGTCGACAATGGCAAGTACTGCCTAAAGAATGGGCCCATGTTTGACAGTATCGTAAAACTTGTGGAGTTTTATAAGACTGAACAGGTTCGTTTTGTTTGCATGGAAGAACGGTGTATTTCATTGATATGGCATGACACGTTTGTGTTCGTGGCAAGACATGTTTTTGTAGAGACAAACACGTTTTTTTGCATGCACTTAGCCTATTTGTCGCAGGACAAAGTTGATTAATGGAGATTAATGACATGGTTAAGGTTAACTTGAGATAGTGCAAATTGAAGAGTTGTAACATTTGACTGGAAATGAGAGATACTTGTTATGTTGCAATTAAGTTTACACTTTGTTTACGTTTCAAATTGTCATTTGAAAATAATCAAAAAGGCAAAATGAATCTTTTTCATTAATCGTTGTGGGTTCCTTTTTTAGCACATTGTAAGCCTGAGCTTTCTACTCTACTTTAAATTGGCTCTATGCCTTTAAACTGTTGGATTACGAGTGAAATTTTATTCACTATAGAAGTATATCAAATTTCGTTTTCTCTAGATCGGTTTTCCGACTGTACTAACGAAATATTGTCCAGTCCCAACGGAAGGTAAAGTTTATGTTTGAATAATAGTGTCTATATTTTGTTGTAAAATAAGAAACTTTTCTAAGTGCATGGCTTGTGAAAAGATGGAAAATTGTGGTGAATTTAGTTTAAAATGTTGTTCTGCGATTGTCTTACGCACTAGTTACAATCTTTATTATTAGCAATCTTTATTATTAGCTAACAGTGAAAGTTTTGTAGTAAAAATTACAGAAAAAAATTTGTTTTTAAAAGATAGCTATTTTGTTATATCTTCTCCCACAAAATAAATAACCTTAGACACAAGAAAAATGCTCTCAAAATATATTGAAAAGCAATACGTTATGCACAACAGAAAAGTTACAACGAAAACGTCTTTTTGTGATTTAATTTTTTATATCACCCAATGTCATTATATTTGAATCATTTGATTGCATATCTGAGTAATAACTGTTATGTTTAATTGTTGATGTGATGCCCATATTTTTCCCAAAAAGTGCACTGCATGTATGTTTTGCATTGGTTAAAGTGAGTAACACTTATGCTTCAGATTACTTTCGTTTCACTCACCTCTAAATGTAATACTTTTATGTCATTTTAAGAATTGCAGTTTCGTGAGTGGAAATGCATCGATAAATCTACAAAACATAGAAATTTAATATTAAAGTTGATTCAATATGGACGCAATCGGAATACCGAGGTTAAACTGGTTGGTGATGTACGTGTGATTTTTTCCGACGAGTTTTGCATTGGCAAAGGAAGCAACGAAACCCGTGTTTTTTTGGGACTGAGAAAGGATGGTTACTGCAAAGCAGTAAAACGAATACTTAGAGATAACTGTATCAAGAGTGCGCAACAAGAAAAGAAAATTTTGAATGAATTCAACGCAAAGAGTCAAAATATGTTGTGAATTATTCCTACTTAGATGAGGATACTGGAACGGAATATGTCTATTTAATATTAGACTTATGCGAAGAATCATTGGAGAGTTTTGTGAAGCTTTCTACTTTGCCTGATCTTGAAAAAGCTCTTCCAGAAATTCTTACACAAATTTTAAAAGGATTAGCTGATCTTCACAGCGGCCCAAATCCTATTCTTCATCGAGATTTGAAGCCTTCCAATATTTTCCGAGATTCACAAGGTAAGTTTCTAATAGCTGATTTTGGGATTAGTCGACTATTAAAGAATGGTTTGAGGACATATGAAAGCAGGGCTAACAGGGGAACTGAGTATTGGATTGCACCTGAATCATATTGTGAAGATGAAGATTCAGTTGATAAAGGACGTTACAAGAAAGAGTCTGATGTAATGGTTGGTATAGGAATATGACTGTTTACAAATAAATTTACTTTTTTGCATTTTTACATTGTTTATAATTTTAGAATGCTGGAATGGTGGCTTATTATGTTGCCACGAAAGGTAAACATCGTTTTCGAACTAAACGGCATATACTGGACAATATGTTGAATGGAAACCCTGCTGGCTTAGATCAAATCAAGGATGAAGCATTGAAAGACCTTTTGTTCTGGATGTTAAATCTACGATCTGAAGAGAGACCATCTGCTAACGAATCGTTGAAACACCCATTTCTTATGTCGGATGACGAGAAGTTTGACTTTTTATGTAAAGTTGGAAACCAACAGCCAATAAAGACGAGCGAGACCGAGTAAAGTGTAGTCAAACAATTAAATGGCAAGTATTCAAATTGGAAAAGTTTCATGGACATTGATGTATATGATTATTTAAGAACAGACGAGGTAAATGGAAAAATATATAATTATGGTCCTTCATTGACAGAATGCTTGAGACTTATTCGAAATATAGGCCAACATTGGTATGATCGACCACGGCCAAGACCACAAACATTTTATAAGATTGGTGATCACAAGGCATTTTTTATCAAGAAATTCCCCAATCTCCCTGTTTGGGTGCATGCTGCTGTGAGGTCAAATGGAGAATTTAAAAACAATACAGAACTCAAGAACTTCTTTAATGAAAGCGAACCACGTGAATAAACAGTTTAAAGAGAAAAGAACCTGTTTGAAGGAAAGGCAATGATAAGTATTTGTATGAATGTACATTAAAAACTTTTTTATTTCCCAGTTCCATACGTTGTATATAGTTGTTCGGTATTTGTATAGTGCTCAGTTTTTTAATGAAAGTTTCAGTGGGTTGTAGCTTGTGTTTTGATTTGTTTGTAAGTGGTTGCAGTATGTCAGTCAAGTACTTTGGAAGTTTGTAAGTAGGCGAACCACAGAATGATACAATTGGTCGCATGGGTATTTGTGCTTTGTGAAGTTTTGGCTGTCCGTGTAATCTGGGTGGTCGTGGTACCGAACATCTAAGTCGATAGTAAATACGTTCTGATATATGTTAGATTTTATCATAGAGAAGATCTTGCTGTTAAGTTTGCGTACTAGTGATGGTGTTGGGTCTCGTTTGAGTTATTCGTACGTTTGTCTGTCGTTAACAAGAGTGTCCATTTTGTCGAAGTAATTATTCCTGTCCATGACCACAGTCACGCGTGCTTTGTCTGCTGGTAAAATGACGATGTTGTTGTGTTTTGTCGTTTGAGTGCTTGTTGCTCGTCCTTTGTCAAGTTGTTGTCACGTATAGAGGACGATTGTAAAGCGGAGGCTACCCTGCTTCTGATCTCGTCTTTGGTTGTCTCTGACAAGTCTCTTTGATACGCTAGGACAGCCTCGACACTGTTTTAGTCCGTAAGATAGTTGTCGTGTTTTAGTTTCGTCTAATGAGCGGGAAGAAATATTCCTCACCCAGTTATCGTCATGTTTATGTCTTGTACGTGTTTTAAAGCGCACTAAAACACGTACAAGACGTAAACATGTACGTGTACCATTTACTCAACTTATGTCTTATGGCAAGTCATACGGAACCCGGACCCCTATGTGCACTTGGCGAATTTTGGTTGACTTGGCAGCATTATTTTTACTTTGTGAACGTAATGACTCAACAGTTGAATGAAACCAGTAGATGTAGACCTCAAGTTATACCAAAAACTAGTTTAGTTACAAAACAAAGCTGTTGCTGATGTTTCTTCACTTGTGATTTTCTCTTGACTAACACATTAGATTGTTGCTCATGTTTTTCATGAAAATAGATTCTTGGCTAAACTAAACTTTCTTATGATTTGTTAAAATCCACTATGGATTTCTATTACTTTACAGTCCAAGTGTTGTTTTACTTTCAGATCGTGAATTGCATCATTATCTACCTGCTCTTTGTACATTGCACATTGTAACAAAGATCCCTGGGTAGGTTGTCATCACAAACCACATAATCTGTGGGGCAACTAACTTTTCTTGAGTTAACAATTCTTTAACAAGAGTGGAACATCCGGCATGAATTAAACTTTAACCACAAGATTGGGCATGAATTGGATAACAACAACAGTTTACATTTTTTTAAAAGTTTGCAAGATAAATATTGGAGCCTAACAAATAATTTTAAACATAGTCATAAACAATTTGTTTTATGAAATTTATTAAGAGTGACGTTTCGTCTTTACTCAAGACATCTTCAGACAAATTAGGAAGTTAACAAGAACATAGATATCTACAGAGCTATCTACATAGTTTGAGGTATCAGATTACTGTGAATGTGTTATGTGATGTAAGTGTGATGTATTGTTAGGGTGAGGTGTAGAGACTAGAAAAGCCTAAGAGGGATGGAGCTGCCTTGGGTGTTAAGTAAAGGTTTTAGTTTGGAGATGAGGAGGCTTTGGTGGATCATGAGGTTGAATGTGTCCGAGCAGGATGAGATGATTTTAAAATCGTCCGGCAAAGCAGGGTGGTTGGAGGAGTTACTATGAGAAAGAATACTTGACATTAATGGGTTAGTATAGTGTTTTCCAGTCAAAGGAGAGAAAATGCTATACTAACCCATACAAAACCTTCACTTAACACCCAAGGCAGCTCTTATCCCTCTTAAGCTTTTCTATTCTCAACTCCTCACCCTAACAAAACATCACACTTACATAGCACTTACATCACATCACACCTACACATTCACAGTAATTTGATACCTCAAACTATGTAAAAAGCTCTATATATATCTATATTCTTGTTAACTTCCTAATTAGTCTGAAGATGTCTTGAGTAAAGACAAAACGTCACTCTTAATAAATTTCATAAAACCAAATTGTTTATGACTTTGTTTAAAATTATTTGTTGGGCTCTAATATTTATATTGAGAATCCGTTTCACGCCTGGCACTTCATTGGAAACAAGTTTGGAAGATACACCATACTCCCATAAAACTGCCTGTGTACCACTTCACACATCCCTTGTGACATTCTTATCTTTCAGATTGTTCACATGCCTGTTTTATGATATTGATATGCTTGATCTTAATATCACTAAAAAAGTTTTTAATGAAGAAGTAAGCTAACACCTGCTTTCATCTGACGCAATAGAAATTTTCTTACTGTACTTCAATATGAAATTCTATGTGTGCAAACTGCAGTAAAGAGTTAACATAGAGAATATATATAGTGTCCCTTTTGGATGACCTTGTATTCTTTACATGCATGTAATAACTTATTTAGTACAAATAAAATTGAAAAAAGTAATCAATCATTGCATTCAACAAAATTCAATTTTATTTTCAAAATGTAGCAACAGAACAAAATACATATGGCATTACTGAAAAGCTGAAAGGTCTATATGCATTCTACGTAGATTGTACGCATAGATACACCAATATTTAACATAAATATATAAAAAAAATCAAAATTCCATGAAAAATACTTTGACATACTCGACTGGAATGCAATCTGGTAGAGTAAGTGGGATTGAAATCTTTCCTCTTAATTGCACAGAGCCACTTCGCTACTGTGTTTGCCACCAGAGCGTACGTTTCATATCCTTCGTTGCTTCGATTGGCAAAATAAACGCACAACATAAACCGAACTTTTTGTAATTTAACTCTTTGTAAACTATAGTTTTCTATTGAGATCTCGGAACAAAAATAGCGGCGAGAGACCCACGTGACCGTATTTACCCAATCATCATGCAGAATGTAAAGAACAACACGTGTCCCTACCAACCACAGAACTCATAATTCACCAACTCTGCGGTCCCAACTTTTACATATAGAGGGCTCTGGATAGAATTAGCGTTGTGTTGATCTTCTCGTCGTCAATTTGAATGTGCAAGTTCTGTGATTTAGTCATAAAACTTGAATTTTGACAACATTTACTAGGGTAAGTTTACTTAAATGGTTTTT